TTTTCACGAGCCTCCGTGGGTGCCGCTTGGGAGTCCCGCAGGGCTGGCCCTGCTGGAGTTGGACGAGGTCATGCTGCATGGGCGGCGGCTCTTCTCCTTCCAGGGCGACGTGCCGGATTGGTTTTATCGACTGCACTGGGGCTCGGAACTGGCGGAGTTCTTTGTCGTGGAGGGCGCGTCGCCGCGGGAGCTGTACCAGTACGGTCAGGAGAAGGGCCTGAGCTTCAGGGTGCCTTTGGATACGGAGATCGGTCTTGGAGCAGCGAGCCTGGTGATGGGCTCGGCCTGGGCGGTCTTCTTGGCCCATACTTGTCTGGAAGCGAGCTTCGAGTCATTGCGGGCACCGAGTATTACCTACGGGAAGCCGACCCCAAGCCTTCGGAGCCCGACGTCAGCCACTCGACCTTCGTTGCAGCAGGGGGATCTTCCCCCAAGCGTGACCGAGGCGGTGGAGGACGGGACGGCCGAGGAGGTGGCGGCGACGCTCATCCTGATGCTCTACATCGACGACTACATAGGTTTTACTTTGAAGGGCCCAGGCGAGGAGGAGGACATCGTGAAGGACAAAGAGGAGGTAAAGGCGCTCCTGAACAGCAAGGGCCTCGCCATCCACAAGGAGGACTGGGGAGAAGGGCTCAGCGCAGGGCTGGGACTCACGATACCTACAGCCAGACCCTATGTCCTGAGGGTCCAGACGAAGAAGTTGGCGGAGCTGGTCTTGGCGACGGAGGCGTTACTGACGGAGGGCGCTGCTCAGCCAGCAGTTTTGTCGAGTCTGGTGGGCCATTGGACGTGGACCATGATGGTGTTCAGGCCCGCGTTTGCTATTCTGGACGAGACCTACAGATGGGTTCGGAGCTGGGAGCTGGAGGAGGCGGTCGTGCCCAGGAGGCTGCCCGAGATCGTCCAGAGCGAGCTCGCGGCCCTGGTCAGCCTCTCGATCTACATGGAGGCGGACCTGGAGGCCCCCTGGTGGCCACGTGCGTACATGACGGACGCCTCGGAGAGCGGATGCGGAGCCCTGGCCTGCGACTGCGATCCCGAGGAGGCGAGAGCGGAAGCGGCACGGGGGACGGAAGGTGTCTGGGGCCCCATGGTGGAGGATTTGCACACCGAGGTGGAGAGGACGGTGGAGGCCGAGGGCGACGAGGAGGACTTACCGGCCCGACCCCAGGCTGGCCGCCCGGGGGTGCTGGAGTTGTTCTCGGGATCGTCGAGGTTACTGGATGCCGTCAAGGACCTCACGAACTCCTGGGGGGAGGCGTGGGACATCTCGGAGGGGGCCGAGTGCGACGTGCTGGTGTGCGAGAACCTGGAGCTGTTGCTGAGGAGGCTGCGGCAGGGGTGGTACTGGTGGGTTCACCTGGCGCCGCCCTGCGCCACCTTCTCGAAAGCTCGGGTGCCGCCCTTGAGGTCAGCCGAGCACATCTGGGGGCTGCCCACTTTGGACGGGCAAAGTCACACCAAGCTCGAGGAGGGCAACCTGCTGTGCATCGTGGCGGTGGAAGTGTTGAAGGTCTGCGTGACGCTGGCGATCCCCTTCACTTTGGAGAATCCCTCTGGGAGTTACATCTGGGCTTTTCCACCGCTGGTGGAGGTGTTGGGGAAGGCAGACGTCTGGAGGGCGGAGCTGGACTACTGCATGTTTGGCGAGGTCTGGAAGAAGCCCACCGCGTTTGTCACGAGCGTGAGGGAGATGACGAGGCTGGCGAGGAAGTGCACAGGCACTTTCCGCTGCTGCAGCCGCACGCGGGGGCCTCATCAGGAGCTGAGGGGCAAGTCACCATGTGGGCTCAGGTGGACACAGCTGGCATGCGCGTACCCACTCGAGCTCTGCAGGTGCTACGCCGAGGTCATGAGGGAGCTCGAGTCCGCGTGGGAAACGATACCAGTGGGAGCCCGTCTGAGGCTGCGAGGAGGCAGGACCCAGATTGCCAAGGCAACGGGGACGACCATGCCTCTCAGGCCTGTGTGGCTGGAGCACCACTGGCACGTCCTCTTTTGCGGGAAGTGGGGGCACCAGGAGCACAACAACATCCTGGAGCTGCGGACGGTGGTGGCCACGCTGAGGCATCTGAGCAGGACCTCGCAGGCATGGGGGCACAGAATCCTGATCTTCACGGACTCGCTCGTGTCGCTGGGGGCGCTGCAGATGGGGCGCTCTTCGGCGAAGGACGTCCTCCACCTGTGCCGCATCGCGGGGATCATCCAGATGGTGTGCAGGATCAGGGGCTACTACCGCTGGGTCCCGTCGGAGCTGAACCTGGCGGACGGGCCCTCGAGGGGGCTGCCCATCGGCGCGGCGGAGGAGACGGTCAAGCTGCACGTTGCTCGAGGGGTGCCTCGGAGGCTGCAGCGGCTGTTGCATCAGCATCGAGGCCCTCAAGGCCCAGCCGCTGGGTCAGTGCACTTGTAGTCGTGGCTACGCTGGTGTCGAGAGGAGGTGCCGTGGGCTGCCAGGACAGTCCGAGTCCAAGGGCTGCCAGGCCACGAGGGGCAAGCGCGCAGCCGCCCCTGGCCAAGAAGGGGGCGCGGGCGTGGGAGGAGGCGCAGCATGACAAGCTGCGCTACACGAACCGCCTGGTCATCCACGCGGTGGATGACGCGACGAACCTGGTCTACCAGAAGGCTGTGCGCGAGTTCCTGGTGGACGTCAAGAGGAACCAGCTGGACTTCACCACTTACGAGGCCAGGGACCAGGCGCTGGCAGACTACATCTCGGACGTGTGCTACGTGCGACGTCTCGGCTTCGGGCGAGGCAATAGCCTGTTCAACGGATTCATGCACGTCTTCCAGGATCACCGGGACCGCTTGCCCACGTCGGCGAGAGCTTTGAAGGCGTGGGCACGGCTCGGCGAGTTGGGGGAAGGCGCTCCTGTACCCATGGAGGCGGTCGGGCTGGTCATCAGCAGGATGTTCCGCACGGGGAAGCTCATCGAGGGCTCAGCGGTGCTCACGCAACTGGACGGCTGGCTCAGGGAACAGGACTGGGGCCAGCTCAGGGCCGAGGACGTCTCTGAGGGGCCAGGAGGGCAGCTTGCCTTCACCCTCGGCACGCGTGAGAGGGGCGAGAAGGTCAAGACGGGCGCCAACCAGGGCGTGGTGCTCTCGTGGCCGGTGACCGCGGCCGTGGTGCGGGCCCTGCTGCGGGGCTGTGCCCACAAGGACCTCGTCTTCCCCGTCTCGCAGGACAGGTTCAGGCGCGAGTGGCACAAGGCCCTCAAGGACGAGGGCCTCGCTGGCATGGGCCCCCCACATGCCATTCGGCACTCTGGGGCGGCCACTTTCGTGGCGGGCGGCGGCTGCCTGGAGGCTGCTAGGCGCAAGGGCAGGTGGCAGACAACGTCGGCCCTGGCGCGCTACACGAAGACGCATATGCTTGTCAGCCAGCTCGCGAAGATGTCAGATGAGCAGGTGAAGGCAGGCGCCAGTTTTTGGGCCAGCCCGTCGGAGGCCCTGATGACTTTCATCGGGCAGTCCCCCGCCGCTCAGACTCCCCTGGCAAAGCAGCTGCTGGAGGAGCTGGCGGGGGTGCAGGGGACACAGGTAGAGATCCCCTGCTTTGACGGCGGGCGGGTGCTGACGACGGGCCGCCCGAGTACAGCAGCCCGAGCCCGTCACAGCCGCAAGACGAGAGTTGCTCGTGGCTAGTGATAATTATCATTATCTTTTAGCATGGCTGGAGCTTGCCTTGAGGCGTGTCGAGTGTCCCCTGTCCTCCCCTGTATTCCTGAACAGAACAAAGAGCAAAGATGGGACCGGGGGTTTTACATAAAACAGGGGGCTGGAGCACAACATAGATAAGAACCCTTCCCTCCCTCCCTTATCTGCTGAAGGCTGGTGTTTAGGCATGTATGCCAGTCTCGATTTGATGGGGTTGGGACTGATGCGTTTCCGAGTTTTATCGCGGGCCCTGATAGGCCCGAGGCCAGGTCAGGCACCGCTCTGGACTTGGGCCCAAGGTGGCTCGGGCTCGCCTCTTGAACATCTTTCGGGGGGATCTCCCCCTCTAGGCTCGCTGGCGGCACTTGCTCTCGTGTCTTCGGCTGCTGTGTTGGATATTCGTGCTTGCATGGCAGTCGTTTGTTTTCAGTAGGGTTGTCGCTCCAGTTCCGCCTGCCCCCACTTTCAAGGTCCCCCCGTGCTCTTAAACAAAGCTGGCTAACTTTAAGAGGCGTGAATGTAAATACGCGTTTTACAAACACACTTTTACAGTAGCATCGTCAATGTACCTAGCCGCCTACACTGCATCCCTTCGTTGCATGTCATTACCATTGTTTGGCTGCAGTTTCGGCCCCACCGCTCCCACCCTGGGGCTGAATCCCTGGGACTGATGCGTTTCCGAGTTTTATCGCGGGCCCTGATAGGCCCGAGGCCAGGTCAGGCACCGCTCTGGACTTGGGCCCAAGGTGGCTCGGGCTCGCCTCTTGAACATATTTCGGGGGGATCTCCCCCTCTAGGCTCGCTGGCGGCACTTGCTCTCGTGTCTTCGGCTGCTGTGTTGGATATTCGTGCTTGCATGGCAGTCGTTTGTTTTCAGTAGGGTTGTCGCTCCAGTTCCGCCTGCCCCCACTTTCAAGGTCCCCCCGTGCTCTTAAACAAAGTTGGCTAACTTTAAGAGGCGTGAATGTAACTATGTTTTAACCATTTGGGGGTATTTTTTATTTTTCGTCGAAAATCCCCCTGTAGGGGGACAGGCCCGACTTAACAGTAACACTCTGGGGCGGCTCGCTCGTCCAGCTGTCGTTCAGCACGTGCCAGCCATCCTGCCCGGCGAGAAGTGGGGAGGAGGAGGAGGAGGAGGAGGAGGAGGAGGAGGAGGAGGAGGAGGAGGTAGGAGGAGGAGGAGTAGGAGGAGGAGGGGGAGGAGGAGGAGTAGGAGGAGGAGGAGGAGGAGGAGGAGGAGGAGGAGGAGTCAGCGACACTCTGAGGAGGCGAAGGAGGGAGACGCAGTGGGGGGGGGGGGAGGAGGGGCGGCTCGGCGCTCCGCTCGCCACCAGTTCTTCACGGGCGACAAGGCGGTCATGGACCGGGAGGTGGAGGTGCACAGGCAGATCGGTAAGCACCCCAACGCGGCGGGGGCGGGATTGCACGGAGGGGTCAAGTCGGGCCAGTCCATCCACAGAAGAATATTCAGAAGTAGTCAGAACATACAGGAAGGAATCGTTTTTTGATTATGTTTTGGATATTGTTTGAGTTGTTGCTTCTGATGTTTTTGTGTTTTTGGTGTGCCGGGGAAGGAGTCCGGACCTCTGGGAGTCGCGTCATGAAAAAATCATGACGTCGAGGATCTGGGACAACGGACAGTTTCGTTTTCAACGTATTTTGTTTCGAGCGATGCCCACTCACATGTTCGGCGTTCGCCTCTAATGGTGCGCGTGCCTACTACTAACACTCGCCGGATGCGTCATGAAGGTTGTTTGCAGCGTGCCAACCGCGTGGCCAATGCGCACCCTACACATACCCAATGGTCTTGAGAGCATGTTTGTGGGGAAAAGTTTAAGCCCGCTGGGGCAGTTTCGGCCAGTTTGAGATGATGACCAGAGCATGCAAGTTCCCAGCACTTCCACACAGACCATTGCATTGCATTTTGCATGTATGGGGGGCGGAGAAGCCTACAGCATTCCTTATTTCCGTTGTTTCCGACCAAATGTGGTTGGTTTCTCATCTCTCATCTCCGACGCCAACCTCACCACCTTACACGAATCATCCTTAACATCAGCAGCAGCATCAGCATCATCATTGTCATCTTATTCATCTTCTCCTTCTTCATCATCAGAATCATCATCATCATCATCATCATCCTCGCCACCATGAACTATCAATGTCATCGTCATCATCATCATCACCATCATCATCATCATCATCATCAGCATCGTCATCAGCATCATCATATCTCTTCCTTGCTGCCGACCCTGCTGGTCGCCGCGCGGGGTCATCGCGGAGAGCGGCTCACCGATTGCGGGGCGAGGTTGAGATGATCGAGGCGGTGGACGTGGAGGGGTCTCCGGGCTGGAAGATGATCGTCATGGACGGGCGCGGGGGGGTCAGGAAGAGGACGAGAAGGCGGCTTGTCCCTCTAGGCCGCCCATATGGGTCCGAGCGGATGGGGTCGCAGGATCGCGCCGCATCGCCAATGTATTGACGATGACGACGACGTTGCCTTCTTCGCTGGCTGCACTGCCGATGCATCGGCGGCGCCATCCCTGCTCGGACCCCATGCGGGCGTCCAATCCCTGCTTGCTGCATGTGCGTTGTTTCATGGATCCCAGGAGTCCCCGCGGCGTCGTACTGCACTCCACCTTCACGTGGGGAGCGCGCAGCGGGCGGTCTTCAAGTTTGTTCAACGAGAGGCCCTGCTGGTCTGCAGGGCCCTGTGAAGGTTTGCATGAGCTTCCAGCAGGCTTCTGCGAATCCTACCAGTGTAAACTCAAGATGAGGCAACGATTCTACACGACACCCTCCCGATCCATCAAACCTCCCCATCAGTCCCTGAAATAATTGATTTTCCCCATTGGGAGCAACCCCATGAAAGACGAGCGCTGCATGGATGAAAAGAACATTGCCATACAGTGGTGAAAAGGCATTGCCCTACACCATTCTGGCTATGCGGAATGCGGGCAGGTACGATCGTAAAGCCCAAGGAGGTGTCAAGCGAGGAGCCCGTCTTGAAACGGAGCTGGCCTCCATCCGTGGAGTTGCTGCAGGGGGGGGGTCCGCTCGTGGCCACGATTCGAAGAAGGCCCAAGCGATTGCCCCATTTCGCAAAGGAGCCGTCCTCCATTCCTGGTGGTTGCTGCACAATGTCACGCAATCTGCGGTGGTTGTGGTTGCTCCTGGCGGTTAGTGGTGCGGATGTCTCGATCAATCGTAGCTTGTTGCTGCTGATAGAGGGACTGCCTCCCATCCCGCAGTTGGTGGGAGCGCTTGCAACACTTGTGCCCAGCGGTAAGGTTAAGGCGAGAGGCACATATTGATAACAGCCAGCCTTCCACAGCTTACTTGTTGTAAGGTTTCGCGACGGCTGTGCGCAGCGCTTCAGCGAGCAACGTCTTGCCCTCCATCCCTGTAACTGGTGGAAGGTTTTAGAAATATTCTGCGAGCCGTTGCGGCGATAATTACACGCGCGCTAATGAGTCATGCCGTGGCGGCGTTGGGGCCTCTTGGGTGCCTCATAGGGGCGTTTGGGGGGCCTCCCTGAAGGCCTCTTAGGGGCATATTGGGGCCTTTTGGCCTCTTGGGGCCTCCAGGGGGCTTCTGCGGGGGAAACCTTAGGAGTTTGCTCAAACCTTGTTTCGGGTTTCTGTTTTACAGAGACGGCAGCTCCTGAAAAGGGACCTTCCCTGGCCTCGTGGATATAAACTCAGTGCCCCGTGACCTCTCGGCCTCGCGCCTCATGAGGAGCTAAGTGGTGGTTCAGGCTCGGGCACAAACCACGTGTTGTCTCCCCACGGGGTTTGGGGATTTGCTGCAGGTGATCCTGGCGATGGGCTGGCCACTCGCCCCTTCAGGGAAAGTGTGCTAGTCCCTTCGAACTGATGACCCTGACGCTTCCCCCCTTGCCCTCTTTCAGCAGTCCCCTCGATCATGAAATGAAGACAGAGAACCAGCCACCTGAGAAAGGGGGGAGGGCTGTGCGTACCACTCGTTGTAACTTGTACTGGGGCCATGTTGGTGTCCCATTGCGGGATTGGGCGTTCTTGGGGCCCAGACCTCCAATGCATCGAGAAAAATCACGGCGGGAGGGTCTTCGTGGTTTCCGGCCTCATGGGGCCCGCGTTGGGCCCCGGCACGGTCAAACGAGGATTCGGTATGAAAAAACAGTCTTGGGTAAAGTTCGGGATTTTGAGGACCGCGGATTGAAACAATCACAACGTCGTATGTCTGGGGAGCTACCCAGGTCATGTTGGGCGGCATCTTGGGGACTTTTGGGGCCACTTGTGGACCGTCGAGCTCATTGGCTCTGGGTACCGTCTTGGAGCGGTGTTAGCATTCAGTTAAATATTGGTTCGACGCTCCGCGTAATCCCACTAGCCCATCCAGAAACGATGTATGTGGAGGAGCACGGGGTGGAATGAAGGGCGGAGGAAACCGTCATATGCCAAGATGGGGGATGTGGAGGTGGAATCGGAGGAGGAGGAGGAGGAGGAGGAGGAGGAGGAGGAGGAGAAGGGGGAGGTGGTTGGGGAAAGGGGGAGGAAGGAGGATGGAGGAGGAAGGGGGTGCGTAGCAATCTTGGTTCAAGTTCGTAGCAGGAGGCTCAGAGGATTTGCGTGTTGGCAGAGGGTTTTTTCGGCGCCCAAGATGCACAGGCGTTCGCCCGCCAGTTCGTCTCTCACAATCACATTTTGTGTGAAGGGAACTCCGTTTCTCCTTGTTTACAGTTTTTCTCGGATGGTGGCAGGTCCTGCTTTCTCTCATGCGCACCGGGTTCGCCCCGAGGGTGCTATCAGCGGAGGTGGCTGGCAGACATACGGAAACGGTCGCAAAAGAAAATAATTCGAGAAACCGCAGCGGTTTGTGTGTTCAGCCCGCGGTTGCAATAGGAACGGAACTGATGATGGTGTGCAGACAGTGCGTTTCGCTTCCTCTTCGTCTTAGTGTTGACAACGCTCCTGTGGCCCGAGGCTCTTGGTTCGTCCCCGCTGTGCCCCCAGGTGCCTTCGTCAAGGGCGGCATGTGTCAAGGAGGTGCGGCAGGTGGCCGCGTTGTCGGAAAGGGCGTCTTGGCAAAGGGCAAGGGTGGCCACGTGCAGGGTGGCAGGTTCGGCCCAGGTGCGGAATGTCAACTTGTGTATCCTGCAGTCGCGCCCGCGCCCTCAAGCTGCAGTGGCGCTGCCCCGTTGGCCGTTTACGTATGCCGCCTGGGTCGCTGCCCAACTGCACGAAGGATGGGGCAAGCGAGTTGAGTTGGCCAGGCTGTCCGAGAAGGCCGGTGACAAGGCTGGTGCTGCATGGTATGCGGCTGCTCCAGCGAAGGGCAGGCAGAAGCCCTCTCCCGCACCAGGTTGCACAGCAGCACTTTGCGGAACGGTGCACTTAGCCAGTTGTATCTATACTTATAGAAGGGTTAACCTATGTTATAGAAGGGCTAACCTATGTTATAACCAGGGTAACTAGATATATCTGGTTATAACTGTTCTGACAGTTATAACTAGATGCATGGGTTGGTAAAGTGTTACGCAAGGGTGCATCTGGTTATGCTCATGAGCGCAACTTAACTTGCAGCCCAGTGCCTAAGTAGATACGCCGACGCCTAAGTAGCTAACTGCAGATGTAACCAAGTTGTGAAGATCGCCCACAGTTGGTGCCGAGTTGGTAAATGGCTAACTAAGTTACGAAAAAGTTATTTCCAGTTATGTTAAGTTATCTTACAGTTATGTTAAGTTATATTACAGTTATGTTGAGCACGTTAGCGGTGTTTATCGGCAGTTGCTGGCTCTAGTCGGCGCAGTTGTTGGTTGGCGAGGTGGGCGCGCTAGCGCTCATGATCGTTGCTGTCGCAGTCGATCGTTGGTGGTTTCATCGGGCGTTGGTTGGTTGCTTTATTGCGGGCTGGTAGGTTAATTTAAATTGTAGGCGACTTCGTCAGTTGTTCGTTGAGCGGTTCCAAACCATGCAGAGACTGATGTTTGCCTTGCTATTTTCAGGCGGGGAACGATGTCGCAGGCGCCGCTGCGAGAGCGCCATTCGGAAGTTGTACCGAAACGCGCGCCTGAAACGCTCACAACGCGGGAGAGACGGGAGAGCAGTATTCATGCGAATAACGAGTAAGTGTAGAGGGGGAGGGGGAGGAAGCAGGAGGAGCGAGGGCGGGCCCCCCACCCGCCCGGGGCGGCGCGCCACTGCGGAGGGGGCCGCCGCGCGCGAGCACGCCGCGACGTTGTCCCCCCTCGCCTGGTCCCTCTCCTCCTCCTCCTCCTCCTCCTCCTCCTCCTCCTCCTCCTCCTCCTCCTCCTCCTCCTCCTCCTCCTCATCCTTCTCCTCCTCCTCCTCCTCCTCCCCCTCCTCCTCTTCCTACCCTCCTCGCCAGCTCCTCCTCCTCCTCCTGCTCCTCCTCCTCGCCCTCTTCCTGCTCTTCGTCCTCCTGCGCCTCCTCCTCCTCCTCCTCCTCCTCCTCGTCCTCCTCATCCCCCCCCTCAGCCTCTCCCCTCCTCCGTCCTCTTGCCGAACCTTGCAGCCGTGCAGACGGGGCCGCTCAGGGGCCTCTTGGGGCCTCCCGGGTGCCTCTTGATAGCTGTTTGGTGCATTTTGGTGCGTTTTTGGGGCCCTCGTGGGAGCCTCTGGGGGGCCCTTGAGGGCCTCTTGGGGCCATCTTGGAGGCGGTCGATCAAAAGAGACGGATTCCCTTATCTCCGCCCCCCCCTCAGGGGCCGCGATCCTCGCGAGGGGTGCCAAACATTGGCCAGGGGGAAGAGGAGCTGGCGAGGAGGGTAGGAGGAGGAGGAGGGAGGAGGAGGAGGAGGAGGAGGAGGAGGAGGAGGAGGGGGAGGAGGAGGAGGAGGAGAAGGACGACGATGATGAGGAGGAGGAGGAGGAGAAGGAGGAGGAGAAGGAAGAAGAAGGAACCCCTCGACCACGAGGGAGGGCGGACCTGATCGCCAACTTCGGCGTCGGCGAGGCCCGGGGGGCGGGGCTTCTCTGGTGCTCTGTCGTCGTCCTCGTGTTGATCCTCCTCCTCCTCTTCCTCGCCCTCCTCCTCCTCCTCCTCCTCCTCCTCCGCTGCTGGTGCCTCATGGGCTTTCTCAGCACTGCAGTTGGCTCAAGATCTCATCGGATGCGCACTGGAACGCTGGCGGACCTGAACATCCGAACCCGAGGTGATCCTTCGGGAGACGTGAAACCACAGGAGCTGCAGCATGGGGATCCTTATACCGAGGCGATCCTTCGGACATGCGCAATAGCGGGCACAACGTCTGTACACCGCGCCTGCACAAGACAGGCGGACAGGAATGCGAGCCGACTGTACACCAGGCCTTCCATGACACGCGTGCCACGCGAGCACCTCCACCTACGTGTGATGATATATTATGTGTTTGCTATTTCCGCTGCTGCCCCTCATAGTCATCCTTATCATCATGCTAACCCTCCCCCTCCACATCCCGATCCTACTTAACTCTAGCTGCGCTGGTTCAGGCAACTTTGCAATACTTCAAGATCCTCGCCCAAGTTGCCTTTGCCTCTGAAGCTGAGCTGCTCTTGAAACCAAAGGCCGCATCAGTGCGGACTCCGACTTTCTTCACGCGCCAGGCGCATTTGGTAGCATCAGTGTAAACCCGAAACATCCCGAACGTGTAGGGCTCAATCCAGGCCTTCGTCGTTGGAAGGCCTGGGAACTTCAAAGAGGACTGCTCACTGGGCTGGCCTTTCACTGGCGTGCGGGCTGCCTTGCCCTTGGACGGCGAAGGGGTCTTCGGCGGACTCTTCATGGGCATGGGCTTGGCTGATGACTTAGCCTTGGCCTTCGCCTTGCCCTTGCCCTTGCCTTTCCCCTTGCCTGAACCCTTCCCCTTCTTGCCCGCAGCTGCACCAACCGCGCCCTCGCTGCCAGCAGCTGCGCCTGACCCGCCCTTGCCGTTCGCGGCTGCACCCTCGAGCGCGCCGTCGTCCAAGTCCTCGTCGGCATCGTGGTCGCGCTTGCGCTTGGCGTCCTTGAGCAATTCCTGCAGCTCTGAGGCCGCATCTGCGGCCGTGATCGCGCGGCCGCTGGGCGCCGCGCCCTGCGGGCCAGCCGCCGCCAGCGCCAGCGGTGCAGGCGCCGTCAGGAGGCCCGCGGGCGCAGCTGCAGGGGCGGCGGCCAAGCCAGCTGCCACGACGGCTGGCGGCGCTGCCCCAAGGGCGTCGGCTGGCGCCGCGCCTGCCGCCGCTGGCGGCGCGGCGCCTGCCGCCTCAGCGCCGTCCGTCAGCGCCAGGAGCCCCGCCCGCGGCGCTGCGGCTCCGATGCCGCCCGCGAGGCCCGCCGCGCCGTCCTGCATGGCGATGTGGTCGCCTGGTGCTGTCAGGCGCGGCGCCGCGATGACGCTGTTGGCGGGCTGCCTGATCACGAGCCCCGGGACGGTGCTGTGGTTCTGCAAGCTCGCGAGCGCCTTCGTGGGTCACAAAAACCTCCTCCACCTCCTCCTCCTCCTCCTCCTCTCTCTCTCTCTCTCTCCCTCTCTCTCGCTGCCTTTCTCTTTCTTTCTGTTTCTGTTATCTTTTCTGTCTCTCTCTCTCTCTCTCTCTCCCTATCGCTCTCCCTCTCTCTCTCTCTCTCTTTTGTTCTCTCTCTCTCTCTCTCTCTCTCTCTTTTTTTTCTCTCTCTCTCTCTCTCTCTCTCTCTCGCTTTCTCCTCTCTCTCTCTCTCTCGCTGTCTCTCTCTTGTGCTCCTACTCCTCCTGCTCCTCACCGCCCCCCTCGCGTTTCTTCTAACTCTTCTCGGCCCCCCCCCCCCCCCCAGGCCCCCGGGAAGCAAGCCCCCGACCCAGGAAAATAACCGCAGGGGGCGCGGGCCAACTGGGCCCCTGAAAAACCGTTCGCGGGAACATATATAGGGCCCTCCCAGGGCCGTCTGAAGGGGCAGAAACGGCCCGAGGAGAAACCACAGAAGAAGCATGAGAAGGAGGGGGGAGAGGATGGGGCAGAGGGATGAGGAGGCGAACGAGGAGAAGGAGGAGGAGGAGGAGGAGGGGGAGGAGGAGGAAGAGGGCGAGGGGGGCAAGGAGGAGGAGGGGGGAGGGGGAAGGGGGAGGTGGAGGAGGAGGAGGATGAGGAGGAGGAGAAGGAGGGTAAAGAGGCGGAGGAGGAGGAGACGGAGGAGGGGGAGGAGGAGGACGAGGAGGAGGGGGGGGGGAGGAGGAAGAAGACAAATACTAAGCGGATGGGGTACACATGGTTATAAGGTAGTGAGAGGGCGGGGGATGAGCAGGAGGAGAAGGGGGAGAAAGAGGAGAGAGAGAGAGAGAGACATAAGGAACATATAAATACAGAGAGAGAGAGGAAAACAAAAGAGAGAGTGACAGAGCGAGAGAGAGGGAGAGAACGAGAGGAGGTGGGGCAGGGGGAACGTGGAGGAACGCCATGAGTGTTTGCCCGCAGTCCTGCATCACAATGCCCACGTTGAAGTCGGCGCCCCCAGCGCTGTGGTGGGCACCCAGGGACGACCAATGGCGATCGACGTGTCCGAAGGATACCGATGCGTTCGAAGTCCTGGCTGGGCACTGGCGCCGAAGAGCGGAAAGCTCTGCCGTGTTGAGCGGGGATGGCACCACGGGGCCCGACGCATCTCCCCCGGGGAACGCGAAATTGAAGAGAGAGGCGCGCGAGGTCGGCAGGGTTGGCGGGGTAGTCCTCGAGCCCGCTCGGCGCGCCACTGGTCGGCGCCGTCGCCCTGCGGCGCCTCACCAACTCTCGAAACTGATTCAGATAGGCGAGCGAAGTGGCGGGCTGAAGCTGCACTGGCTGACCGAGCGGCACGTTGCATCTCATCACGATGCAGACCGCGTGCAGCTTTGTAGTCTCCGACGGGTTAAGCATCCTGAGCGATATCATGCGGCAGGCCACGAGATCGAGCTTGGCCCTGAAAGACTGCGATGCACTTAAGAGGCCGTCCCACTCAGCCTGCGTGATGTAGTTCTCCAAGAACAAATTCGTCTGTGATTTTGCTCGACCATCTCCCTGGGCGACGCCTGACACCTTTGCGTTCACTGCGGCGACCAGCGCCGTCTTCATGTCACCCGGGAGGAGGCTCGCCTGCAGAAGGTTCAAGATCGCGATGGCGTCCGAAGTCGAGATGGACCTCGAGGTCGAAATCGACGTGGCCATGCGTGCCCTCTGGGCGGAGGCGATCGCAGCAAACTCTGCAGAGCCGACGCCCATGCCCCCTTGGACGTTGATGTCCAAGAACTGGCACGCAGCTGTCATTTCGGCGACCAAGCCCGACATCCCGCTACTGGGCGCCACGAACGATACGAGGAGCAGATATGTGATTGCTCTGCGAGGGACCTGAAGTCCCTAGCCAAAACGGCTTCGGGCGCAGCAGCAGCAGCAGGAGCAGCGGGGGAGGGCGAGGCGGAGGGCCAGGGCTTTCGGGCGAAACCCAAGATACTCATGTTTGTTGGGGTTCAGTGTGTCGCAGCTTGCCGCCTGTTGTTTTAGTTGTTGTTTTGTTGTTGTCGTTGCCTTTTTCGTTGTTGTGTTGTTGTTGTTGCCTGTTTTCGTTGTTGTTTTGTTGTTGTTGTTTGCCCCATTGCATTCGTGGCCTGTTCGTTGTTGTTTTGTTGTTGTTACCCCCCATTGCTTTACTTATTGCTTTCGTTTCCCCGTCATCATCCCTGTTCTTTCTCGTTGATCATCCCTCCTCTTTCCGCTCGCCACCTGTTCCTCGTGGTGTCGCTTTTCGCATTGCTGTATGTCGCTCGGCCCTGGTTCGATCCTAAATGCGATTCCCTGGGCAGCCTAGGAGAGGATGAAGACGCAGGAGAAACGGGTGCCAGAGGGGTGTCGTAGCAGGGGCACTAGGATGGGCATGAGGAGGAGGAGGAGGAGGAGGAGGAGGAGGAGGAGGAGGAGGAGGAGGAGGAGGGGGAGGAGGAGGAGGAAGAGGAGGAGGAGGAGGAGGAGGAGGGGGAGGAGGAGGAAAAGGAAGAGGTCAAGGAGGCGGAAGGTGAGGGGGGGAAGGAATATGGGGAGAGAGGGGGGGGGGGAGAGGGGGGGGGAGTTGGGGGATTTGGAGGAGGGAGAGGACGAGGGGAAGGAAGGGTTGGGGGCGAGGGGGAGGGCAGAGGAGGGGGAGGAGGAGGAGGAGGAGGCGGAGGAGGAGGAGGAGGAGGAGGACAGGGAGTACAACGAAGATGATGATTTGGCACGTTTGCAGCTACGCCACCTCGACACCCTGAGAAGTTGCACTTGCACAGGGCCCCCCTGATTCGATGGGCAGAGCTGGTCCAGCGAAGTGCATCCCTTGCACGCGTGCCGCACGTCCCCTGCGGTACTCCTGTGGCATCGCCGACCGAGGCTCTTTGCATCGCCAGGCCCATCCTGGCGTCGAGGGGGGAGAGGAAGGAAATGCGTCGATGGGTGATGGGTTGGGGCGAGCGTGGGTGGCTTGAAACAAGCCAGATGCCAAGAGGAATCGGGGCGAGCCGCCTACGAGATCTGCGTTCCACGCAACGCTCTTGGATTATATTACTTGCACAGGTAGCTGCAAGATGCGATGCTGGACGCCACCTCGCCCTCTGACATGTTAAAACAGGCTGGCTGGAAGTGTGGCAGGTTGCGCCTTGGAGGCGCTATCGGCATCAATTGAACCTTGGTGGCTGATCCTACATCGAAACCACATTTCAACTGCGCCTCCAAGCTGCAACCTATTGAGATTCGCCAGCTGGCGAAAAAAAAGCGCCCAGCGTCCTCTCCCCCTTCCGAAGGCCCTTCCGGGCGCGCTTGGGGGGGGACCTCCTGGACTCACACGGCGGCGCAAGCAAGAAACCAACGCGGTCGGCAGTGCTGATCGGCTGCGGCTGGCGGGCAGGCACGTGTAATCCACTGCGTCCGCTTGCGCTTCGAGAGCGCATGGGCGCAATTGTTAGTTTCGTTTGTTGTTTGTTTTTTGTTTTTTTGCTTGTTTTTGTTGTTTGTTTTTGGTTG